TAGCATGAACGGAGTAGGCAGCTGGTTGTTCTAGCTTCTCTGAAGTACCTGGATTTGYAAAATCAATGACAAGTGTGGTTTCCACCTTTGCCAACTTCTGTGCAAAACCACAGCGGATCTTCATCTGAAATACTGGTCTGAATTTATTAGACTTTAAATTAATTTGTTTTTCTAGCCACTATTTTGTTCAGTTCTGCTAACTGGGATTGGCCTTTAACCAGGGCCTTTCAGGAGTTGGGAATGTGTGTTTCATGTGATTCTTTTATGTGGGGATTATATCAATGTTGATTTAAAGTGGATAATTAAAACTAAAACTGTTCAACGAAGCTCCAGCGTGTATTATATAAGCACTAAGGGCCTTATAACTTGGATTTTATTTTTGTAAGACCAGTGTTTGTCTAAGTAATTTGAAAATGTACTTGTGGTATTTGAAATCATTGGGTTGAGTGGAAATGAAGAATTTCTCTTTAATAGATACAAAGTGCTTATTTTAGGGTTTTTCTAAGGAATTAAGATTTTAATATGAACCTGGTCTAAACTCATTTCTTCAATTGGTTCAGCTTCTCTATGCCTAAATTACAATAAATTGAGAGAATTAAAAACTAGACCATGACTTGGCCRTTGTCCATATGCCACACTGTGCTTTTGTATGGACTCCTTTTTTTCCCCCCCAAAAAAAAGTTAACTCCATTATTCACCATGTATGGGAGAAGTTGGCATGGAAGATGCCAACTACCGGCACCTTGGATTCCTGGAAAGTATTTATTGTATTTATTAAAGTTCTTGCAAATGTAGCCAGTCATCCACATAACAATATCACAAGGGGAGTTATAATATGTTTGAAGTAAGAATAGCAGTTCTGTGAAAGTGGAAGACATCATTGGATAATATAGAAGGGTTAGACGAGATGGCTTACTCATTATGTTGAGTTTTGGTTTTTTGAAAAAATAAACAATGGATACTTTTTTAAAGTATTTTTTTTWAAACTTGACTGAAAGACCTTCCAGAGGAAAAATAGTCCCTATTCTTGCCACACCTGTGGAGATCAACATTTCTGGGCTGGCAGGAGAGCTTCCAAGTGTGACTTTTGGTCCATGGATATGGGAATAGTGGGGATAGGCTGGGGACTGAATAAATGAAATAAGGTAGAAATGGCTAGAAGGGAAATTTTTGGAATTTCCCTTCTGATATTTTAATTTTTCATCATATAGGCTCCAAATTCAAAGGGTACAAAATAATTTTTTTTCCTCTATCTCCCAAACTATTGGTGGCATTTCATGTAGACTGAGTTTATATCTTTGCAGAGATTTTATGTGCTTGTATAAGCACAAACTTGTGCACATACTTGTACTTGCTTTTCTATTCATGAGCCTTGAGTGTTTCACGTTCGTGGAGATAGAGCAGCTACTATTCTTTTGAACAATGCACATGTTTGTTTACAGTGGTGCGTGTGCATCAAATCATTTAACCATCTTTTATTGATGAATAACTTGCAGCTTTCTAAATAATTCTCCAGTGAATATCTCTGTGCATACTTGCAAGCATACTCAGAGGATAGAGTTCAAAGTAGTCTTAGTTGATGTAGAATTGCTTCATCAAAGAGTATGTCCACTGAAGTTTCGCATTCTTTCCAGAGAACCTCTGGGCAGTAGGCTGGAGGTGTCTGCTTTCCCACATGTCAGACTTAATGATCTTTGCCAATATGATAGATGAAAATGATAATTAGGGTTTTAGTTTACCCATACCTTAAGTAAGGTTGAAGATACTATGTGTTTGAGTCACTGTTCATGTTCTTTGTCCCTCATCTGTTGGATTCCAGTATTTCTCACATGTAGGAGTTTCTGAGGAAATGAATATTTTGCCTAACTTTAAAAATATTTTCCTAGACATGTTATCTAGCTTCTTTATGGTGTTTTTTACCGTCAGGACACTTATTTTTTATATTGTCAAATCTATCAGTTTTTGTGGCTTTTAGATTTTATTTGCCAATTTAGAAAGGACTGCCAACTCTGTGAATGCATATGTAGGTCTATGTGTTTTTATTTCCCCAGTACTCTCAGAACTTCATCCTTTTATACCTAAGTCTTTGATTTAACCATCTGTATCCTCGTTTGGCTTGAGAGAGGGAGTCACCTTTATTTTTTCTCGTTTAACTTTAGATGACCCATTCAGATATCTGGGGATTTGTTTTTCCTTCCCTGTTTTGAAATACCTCCTTCATGTTATTTTCAACCTCCTCCTGTATTTGATTTTATGTCTAGATTTTTAAAGTTCTGTCCTAACAACTTCTCTTTTTGTGCTGATAACATGCGGTGTGGTCATTCTGGCCTTAGGATGCCTCTTACAGGCCAGTAGTATACATGTTTCCTAACTTTTTCCTGGCTATTATTGTCCCTCTTCTCATTTGAACCTTGCAAAATCTCAGTCTCAAAACAGATCCTGACTTTGAATTTACTAAAACGTCACAGATTTTTAAATATATGAAAATTACACATGTTCCTTTTACCCCTAAAGAGAGTTTTAGGTTTTAGATCCTCTCTGGTCTCAGATGCTCTCCTCTCAGTTTGAGAACATGTTCTAGAACAAGTTCTGACTTTAGCCCTACATGACCTCTTTATTTTTTTTTTAACAATATCTTTTAAAAAAGATATGAGTCAAAAGTCATTCCTAAAATTCTCTGCAAAATTACCAAGGTTCTTCCTAAAGGTTTTCTTCAATTGTTAAGTGATAGTATTGTRGTTTCTCAGCCATATGATACCTGCAGTACACCTCTCATACCTGTAGGATACATGTGAACGTCCAACACCCAACAAGATAACAGTGTAAAGCAGGCRGTATTTCTGTAGTGCCAACACATGTCACCAAATCATGGAGAGTCTAGCTGTGTCTCAAACCAAGGCCTGAACCCTGCCTTCGTGTAAGCATTTGACTCATTTGAGGCACAGGCGTGTTGCATGCTATCATAAAAGGGCCACAACTGAGTATACAGAGAACACGGAGAAAAGAGAACACAACTATCCCAAATCTAGCTTGAAACCAAGTTCCAGCCGTACTAGCCGTTAAGTATTCTATCACAGACTTTGCTTGGTACCTCTAACTTAGTAGCRCCTTGGTAGGAGGATCTGAATAGCCTGGAGCTTTATAAAGCTGTTCAAAGAAGCTGGAGGTAAACTTGTATCTTCTTGGCATCAAACTTGTTCTTCTGTCTCAAGCAAGAACCCTCTAGGGTCTGCCTGGAGCCTGCTCTGCTCTTGTGGTCAAGCTCCCCATTATCAGCTCAGTGGATTCCTTATCCCTTAACTCAGATCCTAAAGGGCCACCATGATCTGGCCTGAAGAGTGGCTCGTGGGGCCACTGGACACTTGCCATTTCTAGCTGCGGCGAGCTGCTTTCCGTCCTCGGCCCCAGCTGGAAGCTCATTTGCCTTCCTTGTTGGCTTGTGTCCCGTCCCTGGAAATGAACTCTCTTGTGGCCTTCCTGTTCACCCCGGTCAAGGGACATTCTCTCTTCTGCCTTCATGTTACATTTACTTCATGATAGGGGGAGTTCCTGGGGGCTCTCCTCTGTGTGCCTGGCAGTGCATGGACACTGAGTGACAACCCTGGGGAATCCCTGGCACCTGGGCAAGGCCAGAAATCCATGTTGGAACCAGGAGGATGCCCGCCGATGCACATTCAAAAGCAGCAGCTTCCAGATAGTGAAACTGCCCTGGGGTGGATTTTGTGTGTGTGTGTGKGGGGGGGAGTCAGAAAGAGCAGGGTGGGAAAGCTATTCTTGGGAAATCTGAGGATAGCCCTGGGACACCCTCTGTTTCAGCTTTTTTCCTCATCTAGCTAACCACCTCCTCACAGGAGTCCACAGGCTCTCTGGCTTTTTAACCCATGCGTGTTTGTTTCTGTATATCAGGATTGTATACATTAGGATTTCCAGGGACCTGTCATGGGTGTCTCCTTTCTTTGCAAAGTGCGACACAGTTGAAAATTACTTTGGAAACTTTGTGGTTCTGGCAAGTGCCGTGTGAGAAGCGATGTTTTCCTCACATTACTCAGTGATAATACTTTGTTCTTTTCGCAGAGTTTCAAGGTGCTCTTTTTCAAAATACAGTTGAATGATCCCACTGCCCAGAGGGTGTTTGCCATGTCCCATGCTGAGCATCCTTAGGGGAAGGATATGGTTTCCAGTACGTAGTTGACCTCTGACTGACCAGAAATTTTGCCCTTGAAAGGACTCCTCAGATCTGTCCTGGATGACGGAAGAATTTGTTATAGGACAGGCTGCTCCCTTAAGTGAAAGGAACATGGGAATCTTGCTAAGGAAGTGTGCTTTGTTGTAGCAGAGAATGGTCAGACTCCCACTTTTTGGTGAGGTTGTAATCCAGAGTTGAGACTGTTGTCTTTTCATGGGGTGAAGACTCTATGCATGTGGGCGTGTGTGTGTGTGTGTGTGTGTGTGTTTGTTTGTTTGTGTGTTCTGTGTGGGTGTTCTGTACAGTTTATATATCAACCAGTTCAAGATGTGGTTAGGAACCCAAAGCAAGAGAGATAACTTTCACAGAAACCAGGGAAAATTAGCCAAACATGCACTTTTTTTTTTTTTTTTTTTTTTTTGTCTTACAGGCTCCTTATTGAAGACTGTTGTGTTTTGTTTACTTGGGTTTACTCAGTTTGTCTGAGCTTTTCTTCACACAAACCTAGCACCTCCCACCCCCACACAGACAAAACTAGCAAAACAGCAGCAGCAAAACTAGAAACCCACACCAGACAAGGTGATGGCATCGTGCAGATTGGTATAGGATGGAGTCTGTGCATTTGTCCTCATTCCGTGTAGGTACCATTCTTGACATATTTTTAAATTCATTTCATCCCAGTGGCTCACAGCCACAGAGTCGGGTGCGATCCATCGCAGTGTCAGAGGAGAATGTGAATCGGTATCTGTGAGCGCTTTGAGATGCTCTGCCGTGTTAAGGTGAATCCTAACTGTTTCTCACCCCTCGCTTTCAGCTTCCCCGGCCAGAACATCCCCCCCACGATGGCCGAGGACAGCAGCAGTACCAGGGAGTGCGTGTCCTTCAGCGTGCTGAACTGGGATCAGGTCAGCCGGCTGCACGAGGTCCTGACTGAGGTCGTGCCCATCCACGGACGAGGCAACTTTCCGACCTTGGAGATAACCCTCAAGGACATCGTCCAGACCGTCCGCAGCCGGCTGGAGGAGGCAGGCATCAAAGTGCAGGACGTCCGGCTGAACGGCTCTGCCGCTGGACACGTCTTGGTCAAGGACAACGGCTTGGGTTGCAAAGACCTGGACCTGATCTTCCACGTGGCTCTCCCCACCGAGGCAGAATTTCAGCTGGTCAGAGACGTGGTCCTGTGTTCCCTCCTGAACTTCCTGCCCGAGGGCGTGAACAAGCTCAAGATCAGCCCCGTCACCCTCAAGGAGGCCTAYGTGCAGAAGCTGGTGAAGGTCTGCACGGACACAGACCGCTGGAGCCTGATTTCCCTCTCCAACAAGAACGGGAGGAACGTGGAGCTCAAGTTTGTCGACTCCATCCGGCGTCAGTTTGAGTTCAGTGTGGACTCTTTCCAAATCATCCTGGATTCTTTGCTTTTCTTCTAYGATTGCTCCAGTAACCCCATCTCTGAGCACTTCCACCCCACCGTGATCGGGGAGAGCGTGTACGGGGACTTTGAGGAAGCCTTCGACCATCTGCAGAACAGACTGATCGCCACCAAGAACCCAGAAGAAATCCGAGGCGGGGGACTTCTGAAGTACAGCAACCTTCTCGTGCGGGACTTCAGGCCCACGGACCAGGAGGAGATCAAAACTCTGGAGCGTTACATGTGCTCCAGGTTTTTCATTGACTTCCCGGACATCCTCGAACAGCAAAGGAAGTTGGAGACCTACCTTCAAAACCACTTCGCCGAAGAAGAGAGAAGCAAGTACGACTACCTCATGATCCTTCGCAGGGTGGTGAACGAGAGCACCGTGTGCCTCATGGGCCACGAACGCAGGCAGACCCTGAACCTCATCTCTCTCCTGGCCTTGCGCGTGCTGGCAGAACAGAACATCATCCCCAACGCCACCAACGTCACCTGTTACTACCAGCCAGCTCCTTACGTCAGCGATGGCAACTTCAACAACTACTACATCGCCCATCCTCCAGTCACCTACAGCCAGCCTTACCCTACCTGGCTGCCCTGTAACTAACCTTGAGACCTGAGGGTTCCCGCCGTGGGAACCCCGTAGGGCCAGGGCTCTCAGGTAGGGGAGCCTCCTCCTAGATGTAGGTGTTTGGCTTTTTAAAGGGGAACTCAGCTCTGATTCTGCTTTTTTTTTTTTTTTTTTTTTCCTTTGTGTACCCATTGGAATGGGTCCGCAGTAGATCATGAGCCAACCCTAAAAAAAAAAAAAAAAAGAGACCCATATAACAGTGCCACTTTGGAAAATGCTATAGGAAGTGTGACCTAGCCACATCTTTCCAAGATAGACACTAACATGTCACATCCCAAAGGGTCAGCACATGGGGTTTTGAGCTCTGTGCAATCCTTGGGATTGGGAGTGCTTGGGCAGCAGATGAGAAGTGTCAAGCTGCTGCTTCTCAGCTGAGCCTGGAGGAGGCTCTGTTGGCCCTCACTCGGGATTCTCAGCAGTGACACGAACCTCTGTTGTGCGGATAGTCTCTCCTCTTGTGTCAGTTTTAGTCAGGCAGAAAACGATCAACGTGAGGGTGCTCTTGTGACTCAATTTTTGTTCACAGGACTAAATTGCATATGTCTAGTTCCTGTCAGCAGAGCTGAGAATTTTCTTTCATCAATAAACCAAAGCCAATAGCTGGAGACTTGAGATCTGGTTGGAAGTGGTTTATGGTTTAGATGCTGTGCTATCTTGAGGAATTATGAAATATTGCTGAGAAAAAAAAAAGATGACCTTTTCTTGAAATGTAACTTGAAAACAAAATAAAATGTGGAACATAATGTTAAAGTAGAATTGTGGTGGTGGTGAGGGGGGTGGTGGATTGTAAATAGGAAATGTGAATGTCCTTTTTCTTTTTCTTTTCTTTTCTTTAAGGAATTCTTATTGAATGACACTTTTCGTCCTCAGCTCTCTCGTGGATGACTTTTGTGTTGCTCCTCCTAAGGACGGTCAGTGCTGTTTCTGGACGCGTTGTTGTAACTGATGTAAGGGTTTTCCCATGTTTTAATTGGAAACCCATGTTTTTCTGGAGTACTTTGGCTATTTTGTTGTTGTTGTTGTTGTTTGTTTGTTTTTCTTTACTTTTGAAAAACAAAAAAGTGATTTTCTTCTCCAGGTATTCTTTGACAGCTAGTGAATTCAGGAATTTCAGTAGAATTGAGTGACCTGTGGAAGTGCTTAGATTCTAACCTGTCCCTGTGCCACATGAAGGTGGGGGTTTAGCATTAAGTCTGGCCTTGTGTGCTTTCAAGGCAGTTTGAAATCATTCCAGTGTATTTGAGGAAGCATTGGGTGAGTGAAGAATTATCTTCCTTATTCTGGTAGATTTGACCATACTTGTTTATATTCTGCACTTTAGAAGGACAACAGTGTTAAACTCTAGTCTAAAGCAAGCTTAGTCAATGGGAGAGATCTAGCCTACATATTGCTTTCCAGAGTAGCTTTAGATTGTATGCTTTAAAAATTTTTTTTTTGTGTGTGTGGGGGGGATTTTTTTAGAAAGCCTCACTTTATGGTATCAAGAGCAAAAGACAACTCAGTATTGCCTACCAGCTTGATTTCTCAAGTGATTGAATCAACCCTTTGCTCCTGAATTCTATTTTCTCCTGTGGCTGTAGCAATGCAATGCCCTAAATGATGGCTTTCTCCTTGCTTTAAGCCATGAAGTTATCTTAATGCAGAAATGCTTAGTAGAAAAACGAGTGGTTGACCTTTTTCTAAAGAGGTGTCTTCAGGTTTCTTCTGGAATGTGAGCTTTTGGTTCTCTTAAGGAAGACAAGATTGACAGGACTGAAACCCCAGGCTTAGCTGGGACCCATGTTGTGCTACATCAGGTGAAAAGAAGCCACTTCTTAGTGGAACCAGCTTCTGTTTTCCTGGGAACCTTAGTCACATTTGAATTCACTGGCTTCGAGTCGAGCTCTAGGAGGGGGACCGAGGACCTGGGGTGCTTCAGTGTTAAGAGGTGGGCAGTGATCCTGACTTTGAAAACTACCCGCTCATTCGTGACCTTAAAACGCTGCCATTGTGGTCAGATGACAACCTATTTGCACAAAACATGACACACTTGTTTAACCAAAGCTTTTGGAGTGTGATGAAGCCACCRCCAACATAAGCACTTGGCTAAGAGAAATCAGTATTGCTTCGGCTTAGGAGGGTCGGGAACCAGCGAGGCCCCGGAGGAAGACAGGATCTGCATCCATTAATTAAATTTCCAGTTTGTCCTTGGAGTTTTTTTTCTGCTTGTCTACATATTTTCCAATCTGTMACAGTCCTTCCTTGAGGACAAAGACAGGCACAGGAGTCGAGAGAAATCACCCCCGCCCAGCCCTTCATTGACATTGTATGGCCGGGTCTTGCTGGTCTTTTCACCTGACTCTTTTTTTTAGTCAGTCCAGTTGTATTTTTGTAGTTTGAGAACAGAGACATGTTGTAGAACCATCAGGGTAAAACGCTTCATGGATCCCAGCTGTACTTTTAAAGCACAACCCCTGGACTAGCGGTGTCTCCGTCTGCTCTCTGAGCCTTTTGCCAGCCAGGTAACCTTGACTTTCAGATGTCTGGAAATTCCATCTGCTTTTCATACTGCTCGCACAAGCACCGGATACCCTGAACTTAGTACTGAGTCCAGTGGTTCCTGTGTGTGTGTGTGTGTGTGTGTGTGTGTGTGTGTGTGTTGAGTCACATGAAACTTAGCAGTGGCAGGGGGCACTAGAGTTCAAGAGCAAGCTCTAATCTAAATCCAGGCAGTCTTTCATTTGCCTCAGAACCCTGAACTGCTTTCTGATGCCCGTTCTCTCAGCTCCTCCTTGAAGTAAAGTGGAGCAGGGTGAAAATGTACCTTTTCCCCTGGGGACAGCTGAAGGGCACTCACTAGCTCCCTGGTCTCGAGTTTCAATCTCACTCTTGAACCTTACCTTGGCAATGAGACACTATTTCCCACTCAGTAATTTCAATGCTAAAACAAAACTCTTTTATCTCTACTACCAGCTTCAAATCAGAGTGCCTGATGACTGCATGTGGGATGTGGCATGGCCACACCTGGGGGCTGGCAGGTGGGCGAGTTGGGGAGGAAAGATGATGCTGGGTTCCTGATACATGGTACACACTGGTTTGGCACTCAGTCCCCAGCCCCCCCCCGCAGTTTGATTCACATTGGGGATTGGAGTCGCAGCAAGCTAGGTGTGAACCTGTGTTTTGTGGAGACATGTTCATAATCAGATTGCTAAAGGCCTGGCCCTGCTTGTCCTTCAGCCTCACCTCTGCTCCTATAGTCCCTGACCTTCACGGTAGGTCAGGCTTTCAACCAGCACTGCTTAGCTTCGGGAAATGGTACCACTCGCAAGCAACTTCCTAACTTTAGGAATAACTTCTCACTAGTGAACTTTCTGGTCCTGGTGCCTGGTTTTAGAATGCTACTGTGTTCTTAGCTCCAACATCCTCTTCTGGAGTGTGGCTTAAAGTATAGTGATCTAATCTGAGAAGAGACCCTGATGCTCACCACGGCCATTACTTGCTGGCATCAGACTGGGGCTCTGCACTAGGGAAAACTCTTTGGATGGATTCTGTGAGTTGAAGGAATTTTCCATTTTCCAAGGTTAGATTCAGATCCTTAACCTGGCAAAGAATAGAACTTCACAGCTGACTTTGGAACATATTCTTATTTCAATCAATTGAATTCAGAGGACCAAAAGAGGGGTGTTGAAGAGAGGAATTTGAAAAATACCTGGCAACTTTTGGGGATTATTTGTGGAGATCTCTAAGGAAAGAAAGGGCCCTTTTTGTGAGTTCAGGTGCCTACATCTTGTTTACCTATCACTTTAAAAAAAATATATATATATATATAGTTTAAGTGTAAGCTAAAGAAAATGCTTGGAGTTTTGCCTGGGCTATTATTGAGAGTTGGTACAAATTCTTTGTGTGTGTGTGTGTGTGTGTGTGTGTGTGCGCGCGCGCGCACACACACATAAGAAGGTAAGATGACCATCTACTAAAGAGGAAGTAGTTAAATAACCTGAATCTGTGGCCATTTTAAAAAACTCCAACTCTAGCTATCTGATCTGTTGTTTTCTTTTTCTTTTTTATTTATTTTGTGGATGAGAATTTAATTTTCCTAAAGCAGCATAAAAATATATCAAAATTAATGGATTAAAAGTAAGATGTCCAGCTGACTAAGTTGAGCCCTTTTGTTATATATTTGCACAGCCTTGAAGTTTTTCTTAGCTGTGCCTAGGCTGTGTCGTTTTCCTCTTTGGTCATGATCTCTCACCTTCTTGATGCAGATTGAGATCACTTGTCAATGCAAATGTGTTAGAACTTGATGAAATAAAGCTTTGAGTTTGAGAAATAAAGATATATTTAAAAAAAACCAACAACCTTGTCAGTGATGCTTACTGCTTTGTTTCTCCTCAATGGTAAACTTATTTTAGGTTTCAGGGCACACAAAGAAACGGGCAGTTATCACCGTTATGGATGCTGCTCTCAGAGGGAGGAGGCATGTGTGGTTACATTGGAGGCCATAAATCCCTTTTCCAAGGACCCCTTTAACTTAAACTGAGCTTTGTTGTGGACCTCAACCTATTAGCTAGTGGGCTTGAAATCTGCCTTCCCTGGGATCTGGTTTGATCTTGGGCTCTTGGCTCCAAGCCCATTTCAACAAGAGAACCAAATAGCCCCAGCCAGAGGCAGCTACTATCATGAGCTTCTTCACATAAATGTGAACAAGTGATATTTGAGCAGCTGGTAAATGTTTGAAGCATATGAGGAGATCCTGYAGACCTTGGTGGTGAACCACCACCTGGATGCCTTTGACCCCATCTCCAGCACCTATCTGTCCGAGACCCACCTGTCAGAGACCCACCTGCCCTGTGCCTTTTGTGGCCTCCTGTGCTGAATTTCCTAACTCCTGTGGGGTTCACCAAGAAAAGTGTCTTTCGCTGTTATACCCTTCACCCTCAAGGATGAACATGCTCCGAAGTCCCGGAAGGGTGGGGTCCTTCCAGATCACTTTTTCGGTGTGTTTCCTCGGTAACCCTTTGTCCTGGGAAGCCTTGACCTCTGGCTTGCCCCTCTCCAGKAACTCTGAAAATGACTACCTCTGTTCTAGCCGTCTACTTGCATTGGCTAGACTAGAACTGCTCCCGACTGTCTCTTTCCTTCCCTCCATGATCACAGAAATGGGGATCCATTGAAGAGCCATTTTCCCATCGATGTTTGCCTGTTATCCATCATTGGTCTTGAGTACACCTTCTAAAATGGTCCTTGATCCACCCTCTTGGTTACCTTTATCTCCTGCTTGGCCTTGATGAATCTGGTCACTTGTCTATTTTTCTGGACTCTTCCAAGGGATCTTTCTAAAACAGGTGTCCCCCCAACCCCCCACATATTAAAACTTGCCAGAGACCTCACTGCAGGAGCCCATGTCAGACTCCGCCACACGATGTGTGCAGGCCTCTRCCACCGCCTGTCTACCTTCCTATCTTTTTAAACCTACTCTACGGAGCTGGCCGCCTCCTGCTGTCAGAGCACACAGTTCTTCCTGTRCATCCCACCACACAGCAGGTTTCTAAAAGCTCAGCCAAGTGTCACCATTATCTTCTCTGGTTTGGCCTGGGCCCTTCTCCCTTCCCCCCTTCTTGCAGTTTCTGTTAGTGTCCTTCATCGGGTTGCATCGGTTCCTGACCTACGCTGTGAATACCTGTACGTCTCATTCTCCTCTGCCTGTCTCCCACACRACTGGCTGAGATTGGGTGCTTTAGTTCACCACCTGAACTTGGTGTTTTTGCCCCTGGAGGACTTGGTCTTAGGTCACTCACAACCAGGAGGCTGAATCCTGGATATTTACCTGGATGTGTTGCAATGCCTGCTTCTGGCACCAGAAAACTTTTCCAAGCCAGGTATTGTCCAGACCAATATTTACACGCAGAACAGCTTGCGTGGGAAGTGATGGTGCATAGTTCCCTGGAATGAGTAGTTGTGTCCAGGACATTGTAAGGCTATTGATCACAAGATGTGGGCCTCCTCCTCATTACTTMACAGCTGCAGGTTTCACCCTCCGCTGTATTTCCTGACTCTCTACCACTCGATCCCCACCACACACTTGTCTTTCTGGTGTTTTAGTGGACATTTTCGTTGGTCACCTGCACGTGTGAATTCCTGAGCACTGCCCATTKCCACCAAATAACTAGGATCTCAGAAGTGCATTTCTGAATGCGCAGGATTTTTTTTTTCCTCTTTCACTGCCCAAGGCAYCCCTTAGGTGGGATGGTAACATAGGAGTTTCCCAGACAACCTCAGACTGAAGCAGTACTAGGTACCAGTACTAGGGCAACGCTCTGCTGACTCACCTGGTAAGTGACTTCAGCTCTGAATGCACCTATGACAGAGCCAGAGACAAGTTGAGGGTCGTGCCCAGAATGAGATGTAAAAAGGGAGCCCGATGGCCCCGTGATGAAGTGTTCACCTCCTTCCCTCCCTAAAAGCT